TCGAAATGAACTGGCAGCCAGAGCAGCTGTTTTAAAATTGGAGTAAACCCATGCTTATTTTTTTGCAGTAACCTTACTAAGTTGATGTCTTGCAAACGCTTTGCACTGTAATTCCCACCAGCCAGCCAGTCTATATGCTGGAAGTTGTAGTGCAAAATATCTGGAGGGCGCCAGTTTGGGGAAGGTTGTCTAGTCCGACGGTACTCCTGGCAGCGACACATTTGGGTCTCACAAAGAGATGAAACTTTGAGAAGGTGCTTTGCACAGACGAAAGAGAAAAGAGCGCCATGTTCTAACACCCTTTGTCCTGTAGATGGCACTGCAGCACTGCTCACAGGAACATTTCCCCACTTCTAGAAAAAAGTTAAGGCATTTGCAAAGGTCAAATGTGTAATTATTATTATTATTTTTATATGCCACCTTTAACTTCCAAGTATCTCAAAATGGTGTACACAGTTCTGTTCCTCCCCATTTCATCTTCACAACAACCTTGTGAGGTTATTTTCCAGGTGAAAATAAATTATCAGTGGTTGGGTTTGCTAGTGGTGCCTTTGACCCCAAGGCATGGGGGGGGGAGCCTTTTTGTGCAATCTCCATACTGCAAGGCTCTGGTGGATAACCTTTTTTTTCACTCTGAGGGCCTTATTCCCTTCTGGGCAACTTTCTGGGGGCCCCATGCTGGGGGAGGGGGCAGAAGGAAAAACAGACAGAGCAATGAACACGAAGTTTACATTTGTGCAGTAGGATAGCTTCTAAACACATCTCTGTTTTGCATCCAGGCGAACAGGCATTATCAGAGTTCAATGATATTTTCCAGCCAGGCAAAAATTCTCAAGGGGGGGGGCAGAGCAGGATCATTCAGGAAATAAGAAGACATCTGTCCATAATAGTTAGCTGATTTCTGATTTTAACTTGCTAATCATATGTACAATTTGCTGCAAGCCACTCTGATGATTTTTTTAAAATGAGCAGTGGCATATAAATAATTTTACAGATAAAAATACGGATGCAGTATAATAAAACAAAGTTAAACCATGCCAAGTAAATGAGCAATATAATCTTGGCACCAGCTAACACCAGGCCTGAGAGAAAAGGTTTGACCAGGCAACAGGAGCTCACGAGGGTTATAGCCATCCAAGACCCTTGGTAGGAGGGCATTCTGCTGTCAGGGTGTGACTATGGAGAAGGAACAGTTGCCTAATACAGTACAGAGTCAGACCATTGATCCATCAGCATTCTCTACAGTGCACTGACCGGCTGCAGCTAGACAGGGTTTTAGGCAGGAGCATTTCCAAGCCTTACCTGGAGAGCTCAGGGGGTGGACCTCTGACCTTCTGCCTCCGAAGAGATGCCCTCCCACTGTGCTATGACCTGTCCCCTGGCTCACAAAGAGCACTCAAAACAACTTCGTAGGGACTGGGTCCTCATCAAAGTGATCTTCCTGGTTTGGGGCCAAAATATCTGAAGGATTACCTGCCTGTACTCTGATATCACCGCCAGAGCCCTTTTCTGATTACCCGTGCCATCTGAGCTCCAATGGGTGGTTACCAGAGAAAGGGTCTTTTTGGTGGTGGCCCTTGGATTTGGAAAAAATCTCCCCGAACAGGCTCACCTGGCACCCACTCTGATGTCTTCCCAGTGCCAGGTGAGGGCTTCTTAAAACCTTTGTCGATCTGTTTAATTCTCTCTTTGCATGCATTATTTTCATGCTGCTTTAAGAGACATGCTGCACTGAATTTATGTTTACGCATTAGTCATTTCACTGCACTTTGAAATAATATATTGTTTAGGTACCCTGAACCAACTTGTTTGAAAGCTGGATCATAAACCTTAGCAACAAGCAGATAACTTGGGGGGTTACCCTATGAAACTGAGGAGCAATAGGCACAGAACAGATTGTAAATAATATATCACACAAAAACCTTTTGTTAATTTAGCTGCGCAGCTGAAATTGGTCGTGTTTAGTTGGCATCCCATTTTGTCTTTGTCTTGAAAGAGGGGTGCAGGCCCACAGAGGGGTGCATGCATGCAAACCTAGACAGTTGTGTAAGTGCCACCGAGTGACGTCACACAGAAGAGCTAGAAAGCAGAGACAAGGAGAGCAGAGGAGGAATCGGATACCCTGATTTGCAACACATAAGGATTAAGAGTAGGGGACAGATTTAGGATGCGGAAGAACACCTGCTGTGCCAGTTTAGCAAAAAAAAAAAAAAAAAGCCACCCTTTCAGCACAGGAGGAGGTGCTTTCCAGGGAATTGGACTGATTTGCAGCCAAACTTCTGGAGCAGCGGGACCAGATTAAGTTATTGAATGAGACGGTTCAGGTTCCATCCGTACAGCAGATGCAAGTCTGGGCACAGAAATGAGATCATTCCTGCTCTGGTTTTTTCCCCCTTAGGGAGTCAGAGGCTGTTGCAATAAATGCCTCCTCTTTGTGAGAAATTCCATAACAGAGGCTAAGTGCAACACTCAAGGCTTTTCAATCCACCTGCAGTTCTATGGAAAGCCTTACGGCGTATCACTCAGGCTATGTAAACATTAGTGGCTTAAAACGCAGCACATTTAAAGTTGCATTTGCAAAATGTTTTGCACACTGGAGAGCGGGACGGGGATGTCTTCACCTGATGCGCGTGACCTGTTTGGTTTCCCCAAACCTGCAACCCCGCCATACTCCTATTCATAAAGCTGTCATCTAGGCATGTAGAACAGCTGTCTCAAATGCACACACATCAGCTTAACTGCCGAGGGAATGTGGCTTACCTTTTCAACTCGGAGGCAAGCCAGTTTGAAGGAAAACATACCCAACAGGAGTATTCTTCAAGCAACTATAGGACTGATGTGGATTACGGATAATGTCATGCGTACTTGGCTTCAAACACCAGTGATTGGAGCACACTGGAGACAGTGCAAGAGATAATGTGCACACAAGCCTAAAGCTGTGAAGTCTGGGATGTTTTTGTAAAAGCGAAATGGGCATGCTCCAATGGGAAGATCACCTGCACAAGCCTAATTAAAATGAATGAGAGCTGTGCGAGAGCACACTAGTCATTCTGTTCGAGTCCCCTTCATTTCAACCAGGACTGGAGAACGTCTGCTGGACTGCGCCGAAAGCTTTTAGTCATTGTGTCTGTAGAGTTCTTTGGAAATGCCTGGAATAAAATTGGCATGATGGGGCAAGATCTTCTAGATCAAGGATGGGTGACCTTTGACCCTTCCGGTGATGGAGGACCATAACCCCCACCATTCCTGGTAATTGGCTCTTCTGGATGGGGCTGATAGGGGTCTTGAGCCCAACCACATCTAGAAGGCAAGAGGGTGGCAAATGGATGACTTGTTCAGTATAGGACTGTTCCCTGAGTTGGCCAGAGAGGCTGGTGTTCTTCGGGAATCATCACATGTGAACTGAGACTATCTACCTACCCACCTATCATCTATCTATCTATCTATCTATCTATCTATCTATCATCATTATCTATCATCTATCATCTATCTATCATCTATCAACTCCCCCTCCCTAAAGACCTCCCCACCCCCAACTTGAAAACTATTCATGTTTGTGAGATGCGAATTGAAACAGGTATCTATGTTTATTTAGCAAGGCTGAGATATTTTCCAGGCTGCTACTGGATTGGAATTGGTTTTTTTTAAAAAAAAACTTTTTAAAAATATTATATTGCTGTTTGCTAACAAACAGCCTCTAAGCAGTTTACCTAAAATACAGCAATATAAAATATCAATTTAAAAAATAGCGATTAAAAGCAAGACGTTAAAAACCGTAGATGTAATAAAATACACAGGGCAGGAAAGGTCATCCTGGGTGAATCGAAACTTTTGCGGTCTGACCGTTGGAGGCCGCCGTTTCACGCCTGGATGGAGAGCTCCCCCAGCCCCTTTTAAGACGTGTCCCCAAACCCCTTAAGGTCTCCCTCAGCCTTTGAAATCTGGATCCAAAACCCAAAGAGCCATTAGCTATTGGCGGCCAGTCAACAACTTCCCCGTCGGCATCATCCTGGGGGTGGGAGGGGCGGGGGGGGCGAGTTGCCCCAAGTGCGCATCTCGCTGGGGCCGGAGGATGTGGGGATGCAGGAACGGCTGGACCACTCCGGCCTGGCGCCGCCGCCTCCTCCTCCTCCGGGGGCTCGCCCTTCGCCTGTCCCGGCGGTCTGCGCAGTCATCGCCGCCTGTTACATAACCCGGGCAGTGACTTAATGAATGGGGGAGGTTTGCCACCCCCGCCCCCCTCCTTTTGGGCACAAACTCACGTTAACCCCTTCCTTCCAGCTCTCCCCGGGCCGCCTCGGTGCGCCCTGGGCGCAGAAGAGAGGCGCAGAGAGACCCCTTGAGCCAACCCCTCTCCTTCCTCTCTCTGGCCCTCGACACCCCCTCTTTCCGTGATCGGACCCCCCTCCCTTGCCCGCTCGCCCTGCGGCCCCCCACTTTTCCCTTTCCTTTGTTTTGCAGAGCCGAGGCTCCTTTAAGGGAGGCGGCGGAGGCGGAGCGAAGCGCGAAGGGAACAAGGCGACCCACGCTCCGGGCGACTTTGGCCAGCCGAGCCGGGCCGGGTGGCGCAGAGGCCGCGGCCGGGCGGGGAGGGCGACGCTCGGGCGCGCCGGGAAAGTGAGGAAGGGGCTGCTGGCAAAGGCGATCGAGGGGGAAAAGTTGATTTTTTAAAATTTGGGGGTACTTTTTGGGGAGCAGGAAAGCGGGGGACTCGTAGAAGGGGAGCTTGGAGGAGGAAGGAGGGCGCTTTGCAGGCGTCAAGGTGGACCAGTGGAGAGGAGGGCCGGACGGAGCGCCCGGGGGGGCCGGTCGGGGAAAGGAAGAGCGGCTGGAACAGGAGGAGGTTGGGGAGACTTCGGGGCGCAGGTGACAGAGCAGGAGCGGGAGTTTGTGGGGCTGGAGAAGAAGGGGTCAAGTGTCGCAAGGTGACCATTCGGTGGGGTGAGCCGGCTCCCCCTTGAGCCATCCGGCGGCCGGAGGTGCGGGCCAGGCGAGGGCTTTGCTGCCAGCAGGAGGCGCTGGGACTGGGGCAGGGGGTCCAGGAGGCGTGGGGCTTGGCGGTGGGGGTCCAGGAGGAGGCTTTGGGGGCGGGGGTGCAGGAGGAAGTGCTGCGTGGCGGGGTTCAGGAGCAGAGTCAGGCCAGGGGGAGAGGAGAGCCCCTTGGGGGGTGGGCAGGGGGAGGCCCTTGGCTGGGGGGCTTTGGGGCGAGCAGGAGGAGGCTGCAGAGGAGTGGCTGCAGAGTGGGGTGGGGGAGAGGCGGGTGAGGACCCCCCAGGAGCCACCTGGCAGGTGCAGTGGGCAGGCGAGAGGTGGCTGGCAAGGGGCACTGGAGTGCAGGAGGGGTCAGCTGGCCAGCGGCCGGAGCGCTGTGGGGTGGAAGAGGAGCACCCGCCTTTGGGGGAGGTCTGGGAGGAGAAGGGGGAGCAGGAAGAGCTGCTTGGGGGTCCGCGGGGAGCAGGCTTGCTGGAGGAGCAAGGCCTGGGCCAGGCAGGCCAGGAGGAGGAAGGCCCGAGCCTGGGGGGCCGCCAGGAGCAGGAGGGGCGGGCCGGCTTGGGCCAGGAGGTGGGCCTGTGGGGCCAGCACCAGCCCCATGGCGAGCGGGATGTGAGCCCGGCGCCAGGCCTTGAGCCCGAGGGGCAGGAGGTCCGGCAGGCGGTGCAGCACTCGGCCTCGCAGGAAGGGGGCTTGGGCCAGGGGGTGCAGGAGGTGGGGGGGCTGAGGCGGGGGGTGCAGGAGCAGCGGCAGGAGCTGGGCGGCTTGGGCTGGGGGCTGCAAGAAGGGCAAGGGAACGTGGGCAGGCGGCAGCCCCTGCAGGGCTAGGAAGGTGCTGCCAAGGAAAGGGCCCCCCTTCCCTGCAAAGGGGGCAGAATACGTTCCCGTTGGGGCAGAGGCTGCTGAGAGGTCCTGCCTGAACAGGCACCGGTTGGGCTCGATGACCCTTGCCATCGCCTTTCTCTCATCCGCAAGCCTCTTTGCGCAGCTTTCCCGGCTCGTTCCTGGCCTTCTGTGCATCCTTTCCGCTCCAAGTCCTCGAAGTTTTAACACTGTGTATTGCAAGCTGTTTTATGTGCATTTCCTCCTACTTCTGTATGGACTGAACTTACTGCAGGATCGTCTTCCCTGCGGAAACACAAATCCCTGCAAATTCCTAGAAGTTGCATGAAGTCTTAAGCCCTTGCAGTGCATCACAAACGCCTTGTTCGCCCCTCTGCTTGTGTCTGGATTGCTCCATCAGCAGCCTCTTTCTCCGCCAGAGAACTTGGCTCTGCAAACTCCCAGCGGTGTGCCATGCAAAAGAGAGCAGGGGGGCCTCGCCATGCGCCCTAAACCTCAGCCCTGATGTTCTGCATTCCTGTGTGGTCCTGTGGATTCCCGCAGCTGCTCCTGATGTCCTCCTCGCGTGGAGTTCTGCGCAGTGTGCGACTTGCCAGCCTGGCCATCTAACAGCTGCCTGTGTCTCTGGAAAGCCACAACAATGTTCTCTCGCTGTTTGCCGGATTAACAGCAGCAGCTCTACCTGAGCAGCCGCCTTGGCAGCGTGCGGCCACGAGAGGGCGCATTGTCCCTGCCAGTGTGCAGCAGCCAAAGCAACCGAGAGAGGTTGTCTGCGTGTGTCAACAACACTCGCTCGGGCCTCCTGGCGTGTAAGATCAGCAGCGGCGGCGGCAGCTGGCCAGCCCAGCAAAACAGCCCAGCCAGTGTGTGCACACTGCAATTTCTGGAATTCGTTCCTCTCTCTGCTGGAGAGCAGATGTGGGATCCCCATGGCAGGACAAGGAGATAAAAGGCCGCAAGCGAAGGCAGAGGCTCTGGTGGGTAAGTGAAATGCCGGTGGGGAGATTCGGGGGGGGGGCCTGAATGATCCACCCCCTGTTGTGTAGAGTTCCTTGTCTTGTCTGTTCAGGCAACAGGCAATCGCTGACTATACTCTGATCTGAAGGTTGCCTCGGTCAGATCGGACTGACTTAAGCCATATCTACAGCCTGTTGAGGAAGGAAGTGGGTTCCTGTGGTGTGCTTTTAAAGGATATTTTATGAAATGTTGGCTCCACGGTTTGCAACACGAGCGCAAAAACTGCAGACGTTGTAAACCACTTGTAAAAGGAGGGTTTGGAAAGCTCTCCGAATTTCTGTGGATTATAGCAGTACGGAAGAACATCTCATGCTAACAAATGATCTGCAAGGGGGATGAACAGGCCCTGTATCTCCTCCTAACCCCCCCCCCATACAAACCGCTTCTCTTCTCTCATAAACAGTTCTGTCTTGGAACGGATAATTGTACTGCTTTGTAGAGGAAGATTTGTGGTGTCCACAGAGGGTGTTGCATGGGTAGCAGAAAGCGGACTGGGGGGCAAGTCATAGTCAGAAACATCTGAGGTGGGCACCAGGTTGGGGAAGGGGCACGAGGGTGGGCTTCTTCTGAGCAGGCTGGTAGATGAAGACACTTGTTTCAGACCAGTCAAGAGCTGCACAAACCGGCCCCTGCAGAATTTGGCTTTTGGCATGAGCTTCCGTTTGAAACTGGAATGAGAAAAAAGTTGTTGGTCCCCATTACACACAATTCAACATCGGCAACATGTGGCTGCTCTGCTAAGAGAATTTGGCTGTCTCTGGTACAGGTTTCCTTTTCTTTATGGATCTTAGATTTGGGGTGCGCCAGTCCCAAGTACCCTGCCTGCATGGCATAAAATGCTGTGATTCCCCCGTTTCATTGGACTGGATAACCATTTGGGTGTCTTCCAAATCTGCAATTCTACGATTCTGTGAAATGCTTGCAGATTTCCCCCTGAACAGCGTGTGGCTATACCGGTAGCTCCTTGCTCTGTAGCGAAGGAGGATTCCTGGGTACTGATAGCTCCGGAGCACTCAAGCAAGCGAGCCAAACCACAGGACCAAACTAGGCACGATTCCTCTCCACCTGCTTTCTCTGTTCTCCCCCCCCCAGCAGGGCAGTTTGCCTCCTTCTCCCCAGGCTCTCTTTCCAGTACAAAAACCAGAGACTTCTCTCCCTACTTCACGCGTGAACAGGGATGGTGTTTGAAGAAGTGATGGTGTGCTGCCTTGTCCTGTGTTTGACTGGGCAAATTGGATCGAGAGGCCCGTTTCAACCCTTGCAATTTGGAGGCGATCTCAAGATTTCATAGAATTGTAGAGTTGGAAGGAAATGCAGGAATCTCAACTAAAGCACCCCAGTCTTTGTCTCTCTTTTATTTTTTCGAGAGGGAGAGAGAGTTGCCTGAACTGTATTTGCACAAAACCCCTGTCAACTGGCAATCGATAAAGGGCAGTAGGCCTCTTGTTCCTGCGGATTTTGGACTTTGGCATAAGCTTCAGGTTGAAATTAAAAAGGGAGAAAAGTCAAGTGGTTAGTCCTCATTGTTTTGTGCAATTAAAATAACAACAAGAGCAGGTGGCTGCTTCGCTAGGAGTCGAGAATTTTGTTGTCCCTGGTGCAGATTTTATTTTGGTTTTCTTTAAGAGTCTTCGATTTGGGGTGTCCCAGTCACCCTGCTCTTGTGACTTCAAATGTAGCCTGTCAGGGTCCTGTCTGTGGGGAGGTCAGTTCCGTGATGGCTCTTGCCGTGAGCGAAGGTGGGAGCTGGCGTGAGCTCTTCAGTGCCGCTATGCCCTTGTAAATGGCTTGGCAGTCACGCTGCCTTCCTGAGAGTTCAGTTGTGGGATGGATTAAATTCCTGCATTTAGCTCCCAGGTTGACCCAGCTGCTTGGCCTCTTGAGCTGCCTTGTGCCCTTGGCGGAAAGGGCAAAGGGAGGATTAGGACCTGTGGCTTGGGGAATAGATTCAGAGAACTTGGGAGGGACCCCGAGGGACATCTAGACCAAACCCCTGTAATGCAGGAATCACAGCTGAAGAATCCCTGGCAGACTGCCACCCAACCTCTGCTTAAAAAACCCTGAGGAAGGACAGGCCACCCCCTCTCTGTTCCACTGCCGAGCAGCTCTTACGGTCAGAAAGTTCTGAAGTTGTGCATGCGCACGAAAGCTCATACCAATAACAAACTTAGTTGGTCTCTAAGGTGACCCATGTGGGTGGCGCTGTGGGTTAAACCACAGAGCCTAGGACTTGCCGACCAGAAGGTCGGTGGTTCGAATCCCTGAGACAGGGTGAGCTCCCGTTGCTCTGTCCCAGCTCCTGCCAACCTAGCAGTTCGAAAGCACATCAAAGTGCAAGTAGATAAATAGGTACCGCTCCGGCGGGAAGGTAAACGGCGTTTCCGTGCGCTGCTCTGGTTCGCCAGAAGCGGCTTAGTCATGCTGGCCACATGACCCGGAAGCTGGACGCCGGCTCCCTCGGCCAATAAAGCGAGATGAGCGCCGCAACCCCAGAGTCATCCGCGATTGGATCTAATGGTCAGGGGTCCCTTTTCCTTTACCTTTAAGGTGCTACTGGAAGGAATTTTTTTATTTTGTCAGAAAGTTCTTCCTGATGTTTAGTCTGTATCTCCTTTTTTGCAACTTGAAGCCATTGGGTTCGAGTCCTAGCCTCCAGAGCAGGAGAAAACAAGCTTCCTCCCTCCTCCATGTGACAGCCCTCAAGATATGTCTATCGTATCTCCTCTCAGTCTCCTCTTTTCCAGGCTAAACATACCCAGCTCCTTCAACCATTCCTCATCAGTCTTAGTTTCCAGGCCCTTGATCATCTTTGTTGCCCTCCTCTGCACACCTTCCAGCTTGTCAGCATCCTTCCTAAATTGTGGTGCCCAGAATTGGACACAGTATTCCAGGTGTGGTCTGACCAAGGCAGGATAGAGCAGTACTGCTACTTCCCTTGATCTGGACATTAGTCTTCTGTTGATGCAGCCTAGAATAGCATTAGCCTTTTCTGCTGCTGCATCACACTGTTGACTCACGTTAAGCTTGTGGTCCACCAAGACCTCTAGATCCTTTTCACAAATTCTTCTGTCTCCCATCCTATACAGTCATACTTCGGGTTACAGACACTTCGGGTTGCGCGATTTCGAGTTGCGCACCATGCTGAACCCGGAAGTACCGGAATGGGTTACTTCTGGGTTTCGGCAGTCACGCATGTGCAGAAGCGCTGAATCGCAACCCGCATGTGTGGAGATGCAGCGCTGTGGGTTGCGAACGTGCTTCCTTCACGGATCACGTTCACAACCCAAGTGTCCATTGTATTTGTGCACTTGGTTCTCCCTGCCTAAGTGCAGAACCTGACACGTGTCTCTGTTTAAATCCATTTTGTTACATGCGGCCCAATTCTGCAATCTATTAAGGTCATCCTGATCCTATTTTCTCAGGTATTAATTAGCCAGCCCTCCCAGTTTGGTGTCATCTGCAAATCGGATGGGCTTCCCCTGAATTCCTTCAGTTATATAACAATGTCAAACAACACCCCACAGCACCCCACTTGTCACTTTCTCCCCAGGGTGATGAAGACCCCTTGCTGAGCACGCTTTCAGATGGTCACCCAGCTACAAATCCTCCTAACAGAAGATTTCCTAGCCTGAATTTTACCAGCCTCCCTGCAAAAATATCATTGGGGTGGGGGGCCTTTGTCGCATGGCTTGGTTTCCAGAAAGGTTTGCTGGTTTGTGCTGGAATCCCACCCGTGAAATAGTGAGTGTGGGAATGTTCAGGGATGCAGGAAAGGATATATTGTCTGATTATAGCCTTTCCAACTTGTGTAAACAAGTTCACAATTTAGCAGAGTAACATTCCCATTTTTAAACTCACAGCGGATGTGTTTGCTCAGGCTCGCTAAAGCCTCTCTAATAACTGTTCTGGTATTTCCCCCTTATTCCCTCATAAAAGATAGGACACGACACAGTCTTCTATAAAAGTATAAAAAGGTTTACTCACACATCATTCTGTTCACAATCGGATCCCAGAAGGCAGACTTAGCTTAGAAAAGTAACATACACCTGGAAACTAGCTCATAAGAAGACAGTCCCTTTGTCCTCTCTTGGCTGGTGGCCAAGAGGGCATCTTTGGCTAAGCAGATGTTGCTTCTTTGATGCATGTAGTTAAAAAGAGAGAGATGGCTGCCCTGCCCTGTGCTTTTGTTGTTACCTGCACAGGTGAGGCCACGCCCACCTCTAGTCACATGCAGAGGAAGTCTGTCCCGGCCCAGAAGGAAACAGGAAGTTGACCTGCTGGCTGGACAAACATTCCTCCCCATGTGTAAACATGTTCACTCTAGGAATGTTGTACTTGACTGCTCTTGTGTTTCACATCCCTCAGTGAGAAGCTTGGAAGCGCCTCTCCTTCCTCGGAGGTTTTTAAGCAGAGCTCGGATGGCCACTTGCCATGAGCTGAGATTCCTTGCATTGCAGGGGGGTTAGGATGGATGACCTTTGGGGATCCCTTCACAGCCTACAACTCTATGATTCTAAGCCTGCTTTTCTTCCCCCCGCAGCAATGTGCTTTGGCCTCGCACAAGCCCACATCCCACCCAACGTGGCGCCACTGAAACATGTTGTGTGGGGAGGGGGACACATGGTTCCTGTTGATCAGAGCCCTTCTGTTCTCCTGGGTCTCCAGATGTTGTGCATATGGTGCCCCAAAGCATTTCCTCTCCATTCTCTTTTCTTTTCCTCCCTTTGTTTCCCCTTCCGCGCTCTGGGCCACATCCAGGCTGGCGGTCGGAGGCGGCTGTGCCTGAGAAAGTGCTGAGCGACTTTGGTGAGCCTCCAAAGAGAGAGGCAGATTGCTGGCAGGGGAGCTTCTCATTTTGGGGGTCCAGAAATGGCACAAAGTGGGAGGTTTTTTTTGGGTGCCGTTCTGCCAAGGAAAAGTGCAATGCAGGAGGAGCAGTCAGGACAGAGGATCACAACTATCGT